GAGCCAACACAGTTTCATGTGCAGCCACTCACCTTGGGCTCTGACAGAGGGAGGGCAGAGTGGCCTGGAGCTCTGTGGGGAGAATCTACTGTTGTGGGCTCTGGAGAGTGAGATCAGAAGGTGCCCATCTGGGTTCCTGTGCTGAGTCATTCCTCCAGACTGCAGAGGACATCTTTCTCAGTTAGACAATTTTCAGCTTTTGCCTGAGGGGAGAAGCAATTGCCCCAACCTGCTGGAAAACCTCCTGCTCTACCCAGAGGAGTTTCTACAGCTTGAGGCTTGTTGAAAGACTGATAACAATTAGCCAACCCACCCTGTGGAGCTTCTACAGCCTCAGACTAATTAAGACAATCAGATTAATCAACCTGCAGCCAGAGGCAGGCCTCAGCATGCTTTGAGTCTTTGCCTGATCTGGTTCTGGATATAGGCCTTGGAAAAGCAGGCTTTGGTGTGCATCTTGGTCTGTCTAAACCCACCCAGCCCCAATAGAGGAGACCTCAAGCCGAGGGTTGTTGATAGCTCCAAACAAGGTACTCAGGGCCAGTCACAAACTGTGTCTGACATTGGCCTGCGCCAGGGACCCTCCAAAAAGACTGAGAGTCCTAGCAGCTCTACCTAATACTTAGAAACAAACCCCCAAAGGCAGCCAAAATGGGGAAACCAAAAAACAAGCCCCAAATGAAAGAACAAGAAAAATCACCAGAAAAAGAGCCAAATTAAATGGAGATAAGCAGCCTCTCAGATATAGAATTCAGAATACTGATTGTAAGGATGCTCAACAACATAAAAAATAATATGGAAACTATGAAGAAAATGAAGAGTGATATAGCAGAAATAAAGAATACATTGGAAGGAATAAACAGCAGATTAGAGGAAGCTGAGGATCGGTTCAGTGAATTAGAAGACAGGGTAGGAAAAAATCACTCAATCAGAGACCCAGAAAGAAAATACAATTAAAAAACAGTAAAACCACAATGAGGTATCACTTCACACCTGTCAGAATGGCTGCCATCAACAAATCAACAAATGACATGTGCTGGCGAGGGTGTGGAGAAAGGGGAACCCTAGTACACTGCTGGTGGGAATGCAGACTGGTGCAGCCACTATGGAAAACAGTATGGAGGGTCCTCAAAA